CTGGCTGACCCAATGGGTTTCCTGAGTACTCTTGTTTCCAGTAGAACCCCTCACACCCTTCCCTCTGATCAAACACGATCATTTAGTATAAGCTGATCACTTGTTTCTGAATTGTTTTAAAATAAAAAGTTTCTTCAAAGATAGTTTTTTTCAAACAACTTGCATTATAATGTGCTACAAGCACAAAATCTTTTTTTTTAACCCTAAGATCTGTAATCAATAGACTCCCAGAGGAAAATGTATCATATAATTAAACAGTACCTCTGTAAAAAACTCAGCTTACAAATCGTGAAAAAAGACAGAACATAAAACACACACATGAGCCACATATATGTCCATACAATGCTTTATTATACTGCGTTTGTATATATAAATGGAAGCTGTGCTTAAATAATATATCTATATTTAGTACATTGTTATTGAGTCATTTACTTACTGTGTATATGGTACCTGGCATAAGTATCTTGTAATCAATTTAGCATAACTTATAATCATCTATAATTACATGTATATATTATTCCGTTAGCACAACCTTCCTTAAGGAGGAAATATAAAGAGCACGAAAAGCCTAGTCATTTATGATTGTGTAATAACATGCTATTGATAACCTAATAAAGGTTATCATGGTCTACAAGTTTTAAGTATGGCAGTGAGCGGAGCTATAAAATCCTGTGTGATCACTGACACCCTAAACTATAGACAAACTGCCTAACTATGGATCTCACACTAGCCACAAGCTGTGGCCGACCTGTATTTACAAAACAAGGCATCCAAACTGAACTTCAATATTATGCAAGGGAATCTACAATAAAAACCTGTTTCACCATATTCTTCCTCATTTTCTTTCAAAACCAAGAAGCTTCTGTTTGACCAACATAACTCATCATTTGATGTCTAGCTGTTCTCTGCCTGCCCATAGATCTAAAATTAATTGGATTCATAGCCTTCCTGTCCTGATGACTTTGAGGCAGCACTTGTTGAGATTCTCGCTGCTCCACAGAAGATTCATCTGCCAGCTTTGGCCTTGGAAGGGACTTCTGAAATTCCTATCAGAGTCCCCTGTCTTCATGTCCTTGCTGTCGGAAGTCCCTACCGACTCAAACACACCAACAAGTATTTAATTTCTACGTCTCGTAAGCCATAGTGGAAATTTGTGATCCCTGTACAGTTTCAGGCAGTTGTCATGGACTATAGTCTTCCTCTACTCTTCTTGTCCACTTTCTGATATAAAACTGGTGACTAAACACCATTGACTTCATAGGCTCTATTTCACTTTGGTCGCCAAGTCCACTCTGAATAAAAAGTCCCAAACTTCGTGAAGCCTTTGAGATCATCATAGAAGTGCTTCTGTCGGTCCTGCACCAGAAACAGGTTCTCACACACTGTTCAGTGTGTTCCTTATAAAGCATCCGGAAGAGAGTGTACATACTTGGCCGCTCCTTCCTCCCTGGTCCAGCAATATGGTACCCTTGAAAATATCCAAAGGTTGGCACACTTCTCTCAGTTTGAAGCTAATTCAGTCTATCAGTGATGTGTGGCAGGAATAGCTCCTACCAGTTTCTGCAAATGAAGGTCCCATGCACTTTGTCTGCCCTTTGAGAAACAGCATATGACTTGGTAGATGGTATGGCCAAGTATGCCTTTTTGAAACCTGTTGCAGACACCACAATTACATATTTTTGCCCTGGTCAGTATGGACTTCAGTAAGATACCCTAATCTCATAAAGAATCTACAGACAGCTATATTCACAACTGTCTCAACATTCTTACGTCGCAGATGATGACATTTATTAACCATTTACTAAGGTGGACAAAAAGTATGAGAGTGAACTAGTTTCCCTCCAGTGCCTGTTATCTTCACACAGAGAGATCAATACTATTCAGTATATCATGTACTATATAATGTGAAATGTAAAAAGGTTTTCTTTTTTGCATGTTTTAAACAAAAATTAAAACTAATGTAATTCATACTTACATATAGAATGAAAGGAAGGTTAGTACCATAAATGACCTAAATACCAGGATAATGAACCCTAATAAAAGCCCAGGCACACTACCTTAAAGGCCCAGGGTTACCAAGGATATATAGTGATACTACCCGGTATATACCAACATACTGTACTCTAATAGGTAACCAAGGCAAGTTACCTATAGACCTAGGGTTACCAAGGATATATAGTGATACTACCAGGTATATACCAAATGTACTCTAATAGGTAACCAAGGCAACTTACCTATAGACCTAGGGTTACCAAGGATATAAAGTGATACTACCAGGTATATACCAAGATACTGTACTCTAATAGGTAACCAAGGCAAGTTACCTATAGACCTAGGGTTACCAAGGATATAAAGTGATACTACCAGGTATATACCAACATACTGTACTCTAATAGGTAACCAAGGCAAGTTACCTATAGACCTAGGGTTACCAAGGATATATAGTGATACTACCAGGTATATACCAAGATACTGTACTCTAATAGGTAACCAAGGCAAGTTACCTATAGACCTAGGGTTACCAAGGATATATAGTGATACTACCAGGTATATACCAAGATACTGTACTCTAATAGGTAACCAAGGCAAGTTACCTATAGACCTAGTGTTACCAAGGATATAAAGTGATACTACCAGGTATATACCAAGATACTGTACTCTAACAGGTAACCAAGGCAAGTTACCTATAGACCCAGGGTTACCAAGGATATATAGTGATACTACCAGGTATATACCAAATGTACTCTAATAGGTAACCAAGACAAGTTACCTATAGACCTAGGGTTACCAAGGATATATAGTGATACTACCAGGTATATACCAAATGTACTTTAATATATACCTATAGACCTAGGGTTACCAAGGATATATAGTGATACTACCAGGTATATACCAAATGTACTTTAATAGGTAACCAAGGCAACTTACCTATAGACCTAGGGTTACCAAGGACAATCATGATACTACCAGGTATATACCAAGATAATGTACTTTAATAGGTAACCAAGACAAGTTACCTATAGACCTAGTGTTACCAAGGATATAAAGTGATACTACCAGGTATATACCAAGATAATGTACTTTAATAGGTAACCAAGGCAAGTTACCTATAGACCTAGGGTTACCAAGGATATAAAGTGATACTACCAGGTATATACCAAGATAATGTACTTTGATAGGTAACCAAGGCAAGTTACCTATAGACCTAGGGTTACCAAGAATGAATAGTGTTACTATACACCAGGATGATAAACCTGAATAAGAAACCCAGACAAGCTTAGGGTTAAAAAGGTTTTACTTTGTACAGGCCTATCATTTAATTCACTAAGACAATGTACTTATAGAGAACCAAGAGAGTTATGCATGGTCTTACCAGGAAAATGTACTGATAAGGTAACCAGGAAAATGTACTGATAAGGTAACCAGGAAAATGTACCTTTAGAGAACTTGTATAGCTAATGCACTGATAAGGTAACCAGGAAAATGTACTGATAAGGTAACCAGGCTAATGTACCTTTAGAGAACTTGTATGGCTAATGCACTGATAAGGTAACCCGGAAAATGTACAGATAAGGTAACCAGGAAAATGTACTGATAAGGTAACCAGGCTAATGTACATATAGGGAACCTGTATGGATAATGCACTGATTGGGTAACCAGGATAAAATACCTCTAGGGTTATACCAGGATAATGTACTGATTGGGTAACCAGGATAAAATACCTATAGGGTTATACCAGGATAATGCACTGATTGGGTAACCAGGATAAAATACCTATAGGGTTATACCAGGATAAACTGAAACAAGGATAGTTTATATAGTTAACCAGGATAATATTCTTATAGAGAGCCAGTGTAAGGTTCCAGGTGCTTCACTCAAGTGGAATATTTGAGAGTAACATATGAGAGATCACTTCACCAAGGACTTAGCGAGGGAAGAAAATTCAATCTGCACTCACACTCTTTACATATTTAAGAGACTATAGGGTTTCTCAACATTTACCTTCTTCGTCTTCTTGCACTAAAAGGACTGGTGATATTTATTAAAGATGTATACTCATTAAAAACAAACAAAATAAAAGTCAGAAGCCAGGAATTAAAAAGTTTGTAAACTAGACTTGTGACATTCATCAAAGATATATTTTCATTAAAAGGAAACTAGCAGAGAGCAAGTCATCATTCACATATATATATTATCAATATCAGTTTAAATCTACTACAGTTCAATTTATTTGCTGACTTTGTTGAATAGCTATCTGTCAAGTTAACCATTAAGTTTTATGATTAGTTCCAACCTCTGGAAATTATGTTAGCCGTATCCTCTTCCCAAATATAGTGTCTGTTTATTCTATATAGACATCTTAAAACAGTTTGTATGTATAAAAAGCATGTCAGACTGTTATAACTGAATCTTGACCAGACAAACCCCCAAGGTGACAGACTATCTTGTAACACTAAAAAAAGATCTGAGAAAGTTTTTTTTCCACCTTGGAATATTAGGGGTTTGAAACAAAAGAAACTTACTATTGATATCTGATGGCATTTTTTCTCTTTATTTCCATTGTTACAGATTCTACTCACAGTAAAATACTGTGATGATACCTGAAATTCCCCCGCTACTAACTATCGATTGCTGAACGTAATGCTTAAGGCTAACACAACTGTAAAATTACATAACTGGAGTGATTAAATAACGAGAAAACTTTCATTTTGATCCAATTTAAGGCAGCTTTTCGACATGACGGTGATTGATCACGACATTTATTAGTGCACAGCATTAATTATAGTCTCTTATCTGTCAACAGTTAAATCACAGTAAAATCACACAGGACTAATTCCTTATAAATTGCACTCTGAAAAAAGTAAAGTGTCGATTTCTCATGTGGCAAGCTTTCTGACGGGTCTTGTATTAAATGACATCTATGACAATGTAACACAGCGACAAGCACCTTAAACAAGATCTCAGATGTTAATTAACGAGGCTCTAAATATACGACTTACTGATCTGTTTTTGGTGGTTTCTCCACGATGCGACGACATTGACGCTTCCTTATATTGCTTTTTATCCATTTCACCTCTTTGCTGATGACATTCTGTGAAAAATCATAATTTCCAAATTTCTAAAGTGCTTCATTGTTACAGTAACAAAAACATTGTGTTAGCAAAAGCCGGAGCTTTCTGCAATGGAATCTCATTGATTGGTTTGAAACTCATTTACTGAATCAATTCAGTATTTCACTGTAACGTTTTTGCTTGTATAGTTATATAATTATAACAGATGTTCATTGTTGTTTTTTTAATACATACATTAAGTATTGAAACAAAAATAGACGATAAATATTTTTGTGCTATCTATTAGCACTGGTATCATTATTCGTATTTACTCAACAATATTGACATTTCATGAAATTTGATCGCGACAAAACTTGTGTCAACATAAATAATTCACTTGATTGACATCAGTACAAAATTTATTTTAACTTAAAAATAAAAGGTCTTGATTATCTAAACAAACATAACAGTATATTTTACCATAGGTGGCACAGCCCCGACATTTTCGACACTGACTGCCTGTTCATTGTAATGTAGGCTCTGCTGACTGGAGCCGATGGCTTCATTTGGCTGTCCGCCAACTGTCATCTCGATATCTTGACCAGAGGGACTGATACGGGCCATGGTCAGCCTGCAGTCAGTCACTGTCCTTCATCACACTTCACCTAAAACCAACATTTAACCATCAAACTTTATGTATTTTATTTAAAATCTGTTCATATGATATTCAAACCTGAATCATTATACACATTTATAGTCAAGCTTGTAATAACATTGTTTCTTTATTCTGTTTGAATATAGTTCCTATGATATCACTTCTTAAAAGACTAAATATTCAGTTAGTGCTTTAAACCAGCAAATAATGCTGATATCGCATGAAAAGGCGACCAAAATTATGGGATTACCAATTAGTTATATATATAAGAATACACACACATACAACACCCCTCAGACGATTTTATCAAAACAGTTACCGATCATTATCAGTCTAATATACACACTGCTGACTGGTCATGTATGTATATATAGATACAAATAATCTTTACTAATTGGCTAAGCTTAATTGCTCAATTACATAAAGTCTCATGGAGTCTCTGATGAAGAATATAGGATCAATTTTAAACTTTATGACTGAGCACGGAGGTCACAGTAAATAATTGATATTTTTGGCAATTTTGTTTAAAGATACAACAAGCTTGCTCCTATATATGTGCATTGAAACATATAATTATTGCATTTCTTTAAATTCTTCTTTTTGAAATTATTAGACAATTTTATAAATTGGCAGGAATTTGTCACCACCAAAATTTTCAGGTTTTTTTTCCAAGAAATTTTGTCTTCTTTGCAGGAGCATTTTAAGGCTTTTGTGTTGTTGGCATGGCGAGATCATTACAGGCTATGAACTGCAAACTGTGGCTGATATAACAAGATGTTTCATCTGATCAAAATAATACTAAAATTTGGCTTACAGCCTGAAAGTCCTTAGAGTGGTGAATACTCTCTAACAGGAATACTCTATCCAATATTTTATAAACCTAAACATATCATCCCAGGTATGGGGTACCTCTCTGCTCTCTCAGCTCAGTCACAAACATGTGTGTATCTATCTTATGGAACATATTCTATATAATTCAAAAATCAAATCGGTTTCATATCTAATTTCTGCATCAGAATTTTGAAATTTATACACAGCTTTGACAGTATATTGAAGAATTTTATTATCTTGTACATTTATGCACATTGGAATCGGTTAAAATTTAAAAAAAAAAAAAAAAGGGACAGATATGAGACAATTTATATGGAGAAAAAAATATACAACAATTCTTATATAATTCAGTATTTTTTAAATATATCTTGAAGAAAATTAATTGGAAGGCAACACATTACCACATCAGATATGAAAGTTTGTTTTCTGTAACTGGAAGATAACATAATTAATATTGTATAATATGCATTATAACCAGGGACATTACAACCCATCAGATAGTGTTACGAAAAAACTCGATATCAATTTAACACTACACCAGGACTTTTAATTCCCTACGGACATATATGATATGCTTCACCTCACAGTCAATAGCGTATTCTATTTAGCTGATCAATAGCTCGCTATCCAACCAATATAAACATGTCACTGTTGACACAACATTTACACAAGATCTTTAATTGTATCTCATGATTAGTGTAAGTCTCGTGAAGAAATTCTAATCGGGTAGACAGATTTCAATGTTTGAATGCTGTTATTGTTAATCCAGGCATATCATTCTTGCAGTTCTGACTCATTGTATTTAATGCTGATTGCATGGTTACCTGAAGTATCTAGGATCCTGACAACAACTGTCATCCTGAGGATGACTATTATCCCTGCATGTGTCAAGTAGGTCTCCTAACAGGGCAACATTTAGTCAAAATTTAGCCAAACTTAACCAACATTTCGGAAAATAGCATCATTTTGTCATAAAAACCACACTTCTGGAAACAACTGATGTGCAAAATTATAGACTTTGATAAGATACACAGTTCAACCACGTTTTAATGCAAGCAAAGAGAACCAATGTTTTTGAAAATAGTACCAAAAACGTCTTTGCTATCAAAACATGACCGTTGTCATTAATTTATTAAGATGTGAAATGGTATTGAATATTCTTACATGTTTTCAAACTTACATAGTTCTTGTTAGCACAACAGGAATCAGGTGTTTGATCTAAACACATTTTAATTGTATGTAAATATGATTCTGTTTTTCACGTATCCTATTTTAAATTTTACAATTTACAACTTGTAATTTTTGACTTATTCAGAAACTATATCGATTTTGACCAATCAAGTGTCTCCAGAATGTTTCAATTTTATTAGCAATTCTAGAGACATCTGATGTGTTTAATCAAAAAGTTTTTGATAAGTTATACAATTGAACAAGGTCTGAATAAAATTGTTCCAAGGACTTTTTAATGACCCACAGGCCATTACACAAATGCATTATATGTGACTCAAGGCAACCACAGCAGGGGTCACACCAGCTTTCAAAATTTTTGCACCAAAATTTTGCCAAACATAATATTTTTTTCACCAAATCATAAATTTAGGAGCCAAATATAATTGGGTCAAAATAAATGCTTAAATAGATAATTACACGAAAACCTGTGTATAATGACCAGATTATTGTGACAAATGTTAAGCTTTTAAAACCTGCATGCACATCTACATATGGTCTAGGGCATTCCTATGTAGTTTTATTGAAATTGTTTCACAAGTTTAGGAGGAATTTAACAGACAAGATTTGTGAATGACAGACGAACATGGTGATTCCAGTATCCTCCTCCAATTTCAATGTAGATAATGTAAAATTAATTACAATCACAAGGTTGGGCACTACACTGCATAATGCTGTAGATAGGATTTATATGTACTGGTTTCTGGTAGATGAGCACTATAGGTACAGCATCCGACGATATGTACAATGTATAACTTGTAGGTGCAAATATTAATCTGCCTCAATACATATTTTCTCAGTCCAGATAATTAAAATTCAATCAAAATTATTAAAATCATTTCTTCTGAAACATTTATCCCTGGCAAGACATAATCACATCATAACATAACATATTGTAGCGTAAGGTTAAATGACATAAATTACAGTACATATTTTAACAATATCCCAGACAACACATGGTCACATGACATAAATTGCTATAAATATTGTAACAGAATCTCAGAAAATACTTGTCACATGACATAAATTGCTTTACATATATGTATTGTAACAGTACCCCAAATACACAAGATCACATGCCGTTAATTATTTTTCATATAGTACAGTCCTTTTATCAAAGCTGTTATCTTCCAAAGATGTTTTTTGTCGTTACTTGTCCTAAAATAGCATTAATTATCAATCCATGCATGTGAATATTTTAGGATAAGTAACTTTTGGGATCTTTATATCAAAATCAGTGATATAGGAATCCATGATCAATAATGAAACAAAGGCATTACACATACATAAACTCATAAAACATATTGAAAGCATTTTGAAATTATACTTATATGTCAAATCTTCCAATAATACCATCTTTGGTTTTATTTTGACATTTTGAAGTCATCATCTTTTCGACTAAAAAGAGACCAAAATTCTCAATATACAAAGTTCATGAAAACTTTTGTAAAACAATCTTTGGCAATAGTGCAATTTGACTTTTTAGTATTTATCTAATGTCATTTTAATACAAACATTTTATTAAGAATATTAATTCAAACATTTCAATTCTTATTGCTATTTTAACATTAATGATAAGATTAAGATTAAATAAGATTCTTTAATTATTTAAATCTATTACAAATACACGATCTTTAAAAGTTCCTATACATAATAACCAACTACCAAGCTTGACGATCATCTGTAACAGTACCGTCACTGGTTACGACATTACTGAAACGTGTAAGCCAATAACAGGCTTATAGTAATTATATGTGATACACAATATTGGAACTATATAAAGTTGATAGCTGTCTGGACCTGATATATCACAACGGACACAGTCTAACTTTTGTCAGATGACATCTTGTTAGAAATTCTATCCCCTAGTTGAACTAGCTGAATACGATTCTGTTTTATATCCTGGTGGTGTTTTAACAGTCCAGACGGGCACGCGAAAGGTATGCATCTCAACAGAGGCAGGTTATGTAGAATCTATAGACTTAAAGAGTAATGTAGGATCTAGATGATAAAAAGGAGAAAGACATTATTGCCACACATAACATAAATACGTACCTAAGTCAGAAGAACAACAAAATTGTTGATAATCCATTTTACTCCAAAACCAATTCTATCTACGGTCTATCACTATGCACAGGGTTTTAACACAGTAGCTCATTACTAAATTCAGGATAAAACGCCCGGAGTAAACATTAACTAAGTAAGAATTAAATGGATTTTTGTAAAACTAAATATTTACTCTTATAATTAGTATTATCGGTTTTTGCAAGGTAAAAGTAATTTAGACATTCTTCTGTATCAAAACAGTATACATGTAATTAAGTTTTAAGATGAATTGACACCAACTCTCTCACAATTGTTTTTTGTTGTTTTTTTCTTTCAATTTCAATATAGATACATAGAAGTTTAGCCCTCAATCTAATGTACATTATGTAGGCCTAGCCTTTACCACTGACAATAATTACAGTATCAAACAATGGAAATATAAACCAGTCAGGTATCATTTAAAGATATAAGATAAAGAAACATGTGGACGATACTCAATTTTTAAGTGTGACCACTGTCACATGGGTAAAATGTTTGATCGTTAAAATATCGGTAGGCGTTTCTTTGGACGCGTAGTAAACCCAATAAAACTGCAAAGAATAAATTATCCCCAAAGATGCATTCCTTGTCAAATGCAATGTACAAATATTGTGAACGAGTACAAGAAAAAACAGTCATACCTATCCGTCATTTAGGCCCTACCACCAAATAGTAGTTTGGATCGTGATTTTGTTGACATGTTGCTATTTTCTTGATGTTCCTTGAACAGAAACATTTCATTGTTGTACGAGAAATATCACAAATGAAAATGACATATCAAATGTAAACATGTTTTCACTTCTGCTCTTCGCTTGTTCTCAGTAAATTGAAAGCTGCTACCATAGCAACCAGATAAACAAGCAGGTGCTCGCTAAAGACTGAAAGAGTTATCTACCTTTAGTTGCAGCTTTAATTGGCATTTTTATCATTATCATTTTTTATTTTCATCATGATTGTTTTTTAATTACATTGCTAGAGATACCTTAATATAATGGCATCTAATTAAAAAAGTATAAGAAAGCCAGACTTCGGGAAACTATTTAAAAAACATAATTTAAAATTAATTGTTTACTGGGCCCACCTTGAAGTTAAGATAACAGCATTTTAAGACAAATACAATACATAATGTCAAAAGTAGTAATAAGCAAATAAATAAATAGGAAATGCTGATTTGAAAAGTTATTGCGCCATGAATATTACTAAAAATAGTAACCAAATGTCACATGAATTCGTACCCTATATTTTGTAGCGTTGTAGGACTTGAATATAAGATTTGTAAATGTGCTGTCCTACCATTAATGCATTAAAACGTGGAAAATTATTGTGCCGTTTTGAGTGATTTGATGTATACAGCTGTGACATCTATCCCTTGTGAGGGCCCTGTTGGGTGATTTGATGTAAACAGCTGTGATATCTATCCCTTGAGAGGGCCGTGTTGGGTTATTTGATGTATACAGCTGTGATATCTATCCCTTGAGAGGGTCCTGTTGGTTGATTTGATGTATACAGCTGTGATAACTATCCCTTGAGAGGGCCGTGTTGGGTGATTTGATGTATACAGCTGTGATATCTATCCCTTGAGAGGGCCGTGTTGGGTTATTTGATGTATACAGCTGTGATATATATCCCTTGAGAGGGCCGTGTTGGGTGATTTGATGTATACAGCTGTGATATCTATCCCTTGAGAGGGTCCTGTTGGTTGATTTGATGTATACAGCTGTGATAACTATCCCTTGAGAGGGCCGTGTTGGGTGATTTGATGTATACAGCTGTTATCTATCCCTTGAGAGGGCCGTGTTGGGTGATTTGATGTATACAGCTGTGATATCTATCCCTTTAATTGTTAGTTTTGAGGTCCTGTATAGTTAAACATTTGTCCTATCGAATAATATTTGTTATTTCTGAATATGCAAAAACAAGAGCCTGACCCTCTGCTTGGGAAACATCAGTAACTCGATAACCATCCATATATACAGATATCAACCTAATTTGTCACGAGAAATCTTCATCGGTTTGGTATTAAGCAGTGTACCAAGAAAGAGTGAGGGTTATCGAAGATGTGAGGAAATCAGTCTAATAAAGCCTTTAAAACTATCAAGGTTCCGAACAAAATGCATCTAACAAAGAATTCGTTTGATTATAACGACTTCACAATAGGCGGCAACCCCTTATATGTTGTATAAAAGTTGTCAAGAGTGATACTAGACCATCAATATAAAGTTATAAGGAAAACACAACAAATATATCTAGTACAGCAACAGGAAACTAGGAACATTGAACAATACTGAAGGTCACAGAATTCGTACCTGTCTAACATAGGACTGTGTCGCTTGCTGTATCTTAACAGAGCAATCTCAGTCCAAATAAAAATTATTTCTGACATATTGTATAAAAAGTTGTCACCGACATTTAAAAAAAAGTATACTTGTCTGAAATTAGAAATTACCCTTGTGTCTTATGCATTGAATTACCGCGAAGTAAAATTAATTGTGTATATTTATGAATAATATGCAATTCGAAACACCATATGGTCAGCAACATGGGTTTCTTCATACTAACTAAGTCCCGTTACACTTTTGATTAAGGAAATATGTTGCATGCATTTGTAATGTAGCTTAAATGAAAATTATGTGACTGGTATCATGTTATGGTTGATTTAGATGAAACAAATAGCAATACATTGTATATTTGTCAAATTATTCAAATAAGAGTTTGTAAACACTGGCCCAACCACACAACCATCAAGATATTATTAATGTTGCTGGAAAATCGTTTCCAAACGAAATTCTAACTCATATTTTGTAAAATAAAGATAAACTTTGAAAACAATCTTTATTAATGTATCCCTTAAAAGTAACATATTATTGAATGGTGAACCAAGTACTGATGACTACTTTACAATTCATCTTTTATCAATATTTCGCTGAAGCTAAATCTATTTAAACTCATTTGTTGACATTTTTTGTGACTGCTATACAACAAAAACTTCCTGGTCAACAGAAGAGACATATCAGAAAACTCCGATGACTTGTAACGTTTGAGTGGTTTTCGACGAAAGGAAACCGGAACTTAGTAATGTACTTCAGTACCTTTAAGATGTAGATAGAGCGACAACAATGACACACAGCGTTTAGTATGTGTATATTTGCAATGAGTAAAACCCGGGTTAGGAATGTTTACAAGTAAAAACGCTTCTATACATTTTGAATTAGTTAGAAATTGAACCAAAAGAATAAAAGTATTTTTAGTGCGTTTATCAAAATGAAATGCAGATCAAATGCTTGAGGTTTAGAGGGCCTACTTGCGATGAGGAAGAACATCATGTTTCAGTGAAATGCTATCTGCTACAGGCAATAAGTACACACATCACGTGTCTCACTCTAAATAAAATCACATGCAGTCATTGTTTCCTTGTTTGCCATGCACACACGCTGGACTTTTAACCTTATCATATCAATTTGATAGGATGATGTGTTTGAATGCTGCGCCGGAAGTTCAACAAACCATACTGCAAAAGTGTTGTTTCTGAACAATATTGTTTTTGTCCTTTCCATTCAGCTCGTAAAATAATTCATATTCGTGGTGGTATGAAAGCTGCTCTGTGTTAATTTGAAAACCTATTGAGAGTGTTTCAGCACATGTGTATCCAAACTTGAGTTAATTAGCTTCCGGGACCCGGATGAGGGCTTGCTATATTCGGAGTTCTAAGCATACGCGGTTTTTCAGTGTTACACAGAATTAAGATAACACTAGCGACCTTTCTATGAAGTCAAAAATTATAGCAGTGGAGACAAAGCATACACAGCTCATAATGGATATCAGTATTATTCTGAGGGACTAGGAGGAGAGATTTTCTTTTTAAATTTCATGCTAGATGTTACTAGTGAAAAATCCTTCTAAACATTAAGAGCGGTAAGTTACAACAAGAGTAGTGGGACAAATCATGTTATCATTTATAGAGAAACTATGTCGAGATAAATGATATCTGTTACGTTGTGTGGATCATACAGTTAAAATTGATAGAATCTGTTATGATGGCTTGAATTGAAGATTTATTTTTTCACGTTTAAATTTCTTTTAATCTACTTTATCTCCTTACGATGTCAAGAATGCATTAATTTCGGATGTGTAATGTGAAATTATCTTACCTTTTCTTGTATTTCAAGTTATCATTGTGGAAAGTGGCACATCAATATCATAACACTTCAACGGGAAAATTCTGTAATTTATTACATTAATTCTGTTATGTACAATGTACACCAGTGTAGTATAATAGGACAACATACAAAAATATCAACACGTATGAACGAATCAACGCACAACAACCACCTCCAGATGTTGTCAACACACGAGCTCTTTACCAACAATATCCGTAAAGTACAGGAAAGAAACGTTCATTTCACCAACATTCAAACACAAAAAAGGAACCACAGCGTCAATTCACAAGAAAAAACATTTACACGGGCCAATGTACCATACCAAAATTATATAACAGTCTTCACACGCAAAAACAGCAGGTAGTGTTTAATTATAAAAAATTTCATTTTTCAGATATTTTCATCTAAAAGAAAAACTACCAAATGTCATCATTCGAAGGTAAGTAATATGATATAGTGTTGCTTTTAAATTTCTGACAGTTCGATATAGAATTATCATTCCCATCGGTTTGCTATTCTATGAGGGTGACTGCTTATTTCAATTATTCCACAGTCTTAGTAAACCCAAAGTTCCGTTATTGTTTATACGAGAACAGTTTAATACATACATCCATTAAAATGACAACCCTGGACAGGAATATTTGAATATCTAATTATTTTAAAGTAAATAAGATATGTACCGAAATGATTTCATCAGTTGCTTTCTAAGTATTGTTTATTGGCTATCAAATATATATATATATATATATATTACATCATGATACAAATAATAGACAATTCTTCTCTTAAGAAGGAAAAGATGGGAAATCAGTACACAGATAAGAATAGCAAAGGGAGACAACAAATTGGCTTGTCAGCAGAATCTTAATTCAAACTCGAATTCAATAAGATTAAGGTAAAATACGAACATTCACGCGGAGACTCCTTAAAAAGTATAAGGAGAATAAGACCAGGGCCCATATTCATGAAACCGTTCTCATGCTCAAGTATGAATTTTGTGCTCAACCCTCATGTCTTGTTTAAGTTAAAAACCAATAAATAAGGCTGATTTTGCCAATGAATTAAAAACAATTTTGGAAGGATTTCAAGTCAAAGCTGTATTCAAGATTTAAATTTGAAATTTGTATTATTTTGTATGATTTAGGTGAATTATAAAAAAATTGCTTGAGCACAAAATCTTTGCTTTAGCATGAGAATGGTTTCATGAATACGGGCACAGGTGTTCCTTAAGAGTAAATGTCTTCAATAAGTCGACGACAATTCATAGAATGCTGTGTTGCGTAAAAATAAAGTAATGAAGAAGAAAAGAGGATACTTGTAATAATTAAAAATGGTTTTTGAAATCGTTGTATAAATTGGAACATTCTCTTGGATATCGAGTAAATTGTACAATGTGACAACGCTAAATTCTACAATTGACCATCAGGAGATTGAAAGTTTCGCGTTTTTTATATAGCCGAGTGACGATATGTCCTTGTTGATTTCACATTTTCAGATAAAATATTCAAATTAAATAAAAGTGTAATTTAAGGACTTCACAAGGTATTGTTGCATGATCCGATAAGTATTGCATGATTTGAAATGAAAATCCATTTTCTAAGAAAGGACCGAAATCGCTATTTCTAATTCATTAAGATGCGAAATAGTATAAAGTATTCTTACACGTTTTCAAATAAGATTAGTTCTTGTTAGCACAACAGGAATAAGGTGTTTGACTTAAACACTTTTTAACTATAAGTAGATGGAATTTTATGTTTTTATTTACCCTATTTTAAAGTTTCCTTTTTCTAGTGGTAACGATCCTGATGACCCAACCAAGTGTTTAAACATACATCAGTTGACTTGATATTCTAGGTTTTGGTCCGAATATCATGATTGCAGTGATAGATGTCAAAGCTGGTAAAATACAAAATGCAACACGTAATTTTGAATTTTATTTAATTTGAGTTTGGATCATGATTATGACATGTTGGAATTTCTGTTCAATGCAAGTCAGTTTGCCTAGTGAGCTTGTTATATTATAGCACCAATGACAAGTTCGAGAAGAACGAAATAGCCGCAGAATGCAGTTAAGTTCGTTGTTTAGCTATGCTGTATCTTACTCTTAATTTCGCCTGAAAGTTGATACTGACTTTGTACCTATAGTACAGTTTCATTAACCCGATTATGTTTTTGAGAACGTGACATTACATGGATTGGTATAGATTTACGTGCTGGATGTCGTCGATGAAGCAGAAGATGTTTACCATTCTTTGATACACAGTCCTGTCAGTCTTCATGTCAATGTGTCTGAGTGTGAACTGCCATTTTTTTTTTTTTTTTTTTTTAATTTTTTTTTTACATATTTGCATTCTCTTCATGATATTTGTTAATCAAAGATAAAAATCTGACAGTCTGTCTCTTGTAATTTATATACGCTAGTTTTACATGAGACTTATGACTAGCTTCCCATGCATTTTACTTCCCCACTTTTTATTCTACCTGATTTAAAACGAATGAGTAAGTAATCAGACAACATTTGATAGTCCTGATGAAATAAAGTTCTATCGAGATGCCTATTTCTAAAACACATACAGACAGTGTCTTCTACAGATAGTGAATTTTACACAGTTTGAGCCAAGTTGAAGTTACTTAAGTTCAATGTGGACGTGTATAGGTACATCGTACTACACACAGCTCTACACTCTATAAATCCACATCATTGCTTTAATCTAAAAGCCGGATGTTGTGACAAAGTCCGCGTTTAAATTTTTTTTTTCAGGAAGGTCATTTTCAGGAAGTTTCAATGTGATAAGGTTTTCCCATTATGGGTTTACATTTCGCACATACCAGAGTCACAAAATTGTTCACAAAGTCGTTTCCACCATAGTCACATAGTTACTAACAACGTCGTTCATATCTTAGTCGCAAAATTCCTGTACACATTTAATCGTGAAATGAAAGAAGAAATGTATCAAAAGGAAAGTTTATGATTTTTTTTCGAAGTGATTTGTTAGAAGTTTATCTTCCTTATATACGTATACCATATATTATCATGTTTGAGGCATACAAAAAGGGTTTTCCTTAATTTTAAATTTGCTTAAACAAATCTACAAGTTTTTACTCGGGAGCATTAAAATCCATATACTGAAAAAAATCCGTCTTATATCAATTATCTTTTTGAACATTATAGCTAGGACAGAGAAAAACAAGAGAATACCAACATGTCAACTCAATCACAATCCAAAATCAAGTTCAATAAAACTGGGGCAAAACTAAGAATAAAAGAAAGATTTACAATGAAACTCCTGAACAAGTACAAGGAGAATAAGACCAGTTGTTTCGCAACAGTAAGCGTCCTCTGCTTCATCTTCAACACACCACATCCAATTTGATTGATCTTTTGAAATTTCCATTTAAATATCAAACAAGTAAGCTTCCGAATCGAGAAGAATGTCATTTTCACAATGTAAGTTTTGAAATAAAACATTTACAACACAGCAAGTCTACGAAGAATATTTTTCTAAATATTCATGGAATGTAATGATGGTGATTTTTCAATTGTCTTCTCTGTTTAGAAAACCACCTCCCAAATGTTGCAGTCAATGACTTGGGAAAACCTTCTGCGGATGGATATTTGGAGAAAAAACGGAAAGGTTAGTATGTCGGATAATGGTGTACCTGATTAGTAACGATTATCAGTGTACATTCATATGTCGTACCATTGGGAAATACAAAAGTTTGGTATGTCCATGTCATCAATTAGATTATCATTCATGAAGTCCAATCTCCTTACAGCAAACATCTTCAAGATATTACATATCTATAGAATAGGAACACACGCACCTTGGAGAACAAATCTATACATATGCTTAAACGACCTACACAAATGTTTCTGCTGAAACCAATCCGAATTGGCTTTACTTCTTTGAGGGAAATATATAAATAACGATATTATTTCTCATTTGTTTCTACACTGCGTCTCTGTTACGGTGAAAGGCCGTTAATGTTTATGATGTTTGGATGGCCTACTTCCTATAAGTTGAACTTCATTAGTTTTAGTATAGCCAGTGGTGCCTTCCCTGTCACCAACGTATGCTAGCATGATGGCAAATCTTTAGAACGTTATTAGAACTAAATCATTGTCGACAAACTCTCAGTATCATTTACTGTTTTTGACGACGGAAAATGTTCTATTCACGAAAAACATCAAAATTATGATAGAATCAGTTAATATATCTGCTGCAGGAAGTTGAGGGAGTTCTGCTACATAGTGTAAACTGGTCCTAGATCTGACAGCACTTCCTTACAAGGACCGACTGCCGGTCGAGAGATCCCATCTATTTCACAGCTACAGGCTGTTCATTTGTCCTGTTTTTTAACCTTTTCCTTCCTAGCTCTCATACGATACAAGTAAAAGTCCTAAACCTTAAATGTATGCATGTGTATAGAATTAATTTACTGTACATGTATCTACATAAATAGATAATTATGGTAAAACATTAAAAACATTATAAAACCAAAGCTGAAATAAATGTTCGATTATTAAGTGATTTCCAAAATTTAACTTCCAGAGTTAAGATATGAATGAAATTTACAATAGAATTGGAACTATGTGTATGTCACGTACATATTTTGAAAAAAATATAACTGTCTATTCATTGGCGATCGACGAAGGCATCATGCTACACGTGCATTACATTTGCCTTGTTTTTCCACACAGAAAAAAAGTTTCGGAGTGAGAAACTGCAGAAGAGATGGTGTGTGATTCAAGATGATAACTTTTATTACTTCATCAAACCCACTGACCCAAAGCAGAAAGGAGGATTCAACCTGAAAGGTAGTTACATAGATGTAATATGTTAAGTACAGGGAGGATTCAACCAGAAAGGTAGTTCCATTTGTCGCATGTTAAGTACAGGGAGAATTCAACCTGAAAGGTAATTACATACAGTTGTTACATGTTACGTACAGGGAGGATTCAACCAGAAAGGTAATTACATACAGTTGTAGCATGTTACGTACAGGGAGGATTCAACCAGAAAGGTAATTACATACAGTTGTAGCATGTTACGTACAGGGAGGATTCAACCAGAAAGGTAATTACATACAGTTGTTATATGTTAAGTACACAGAGAATTCAACCTGAAAGGTAGTTACATACAGTTGTAGCATGTTACGTACACGGAGAATTCAACCTGAAAGGTAGTTACATACAGTTGTAGCATGTTACGTACACGGAAAATTCAACCTGAAAGGTAGTTACATACAGTTGTAGCATGTTACGTACAGGGAGGATTCAACCAGAAAGGTAGTTAAATGTATATTTACTATGCTTAGTGCGTACCGAATGTCACTTTTCCAGAGTAGTATCATTGTGCTACGACCTTAATTCAATTAAATATATGTATGTGTTGTTTAAGCCAAATCCTTGCAAGTGAATGCTATCCATGAACACAATATACTGCAGTATACAATGTGCATGACAAGGAAGATATATTATTTCATGGAGAAACACTACCGTAACTTTATTAGGGAAAACAATTCTACAGTCCCTTAATAGCACGTTCATAAAAAGGATGAATGAGTATTCTGAGTAGTGATTTAGAGTTGTCATTTATTTTTTTTTTTTTTTTAGGTTACTCATTCCAAAAGCTGGGTGATTTATCATTTTCCATTAAATGTGAAGGAAAGAGGCATTATGAGGTATGTATATGTTAATGGCAATATGGCATGCTCTAACGTTTCCAGTAATATTATCTGCGAGTATGCAGTAAACATACGTGTCATTTTAGCTGAGAAGGTGACTATACAGAACATTGTTATCATACGTTCTGTAAGACTTCCTACTTATTGATAGCTTATAAAAATGCTACTAACACATTTTACAAGAAATGACGAATACATGGTCTTTGACTTTGAGCAATTGAATTAAGCATATACTCTCTTGGTGTAAAGAGGATGCGATTTTGTATATTTGAGTTTGTATCAGTACTTGTCTGTTTCTGATTGATTGTTGATGGGCATTATTTTGATCAAACATATATTACAATTTCAGTTTGTTGCACCGTCGAAAGAGGAAGCGGCAAAATGGAGGAAGGCTATTATGAAAGGCAGTTGTAAGTTACTCTTAGGGTTTCTAAACATTACATGAAAAGATACATGGTTAACGTTGCACGTAAGCTGTTTGCTTTGAGCATACGACTGCGACATTGACCCGTCAACATTCATGTTTACACAACTCACGTCAGTTAATAAAGACAGAGAACGAAACAGAGAAATCAATAGCTTTTATATTTACAGAATCATCACCATAATAAATATTATTCATGTCAACTCACCAAACTAGAATTGTATGTATGCTTAATTAAACATACCTAAAGTACTACATGATTTCGTCTTAGCCCTATAATTCTGTAATGTTTCTAAGAGAGTATTTATATGTTACAGCAGTAAAGAAAAAGTTAAGAAAAAGCGACAGTTTTCCTGGCGGTGAGTCCATACCTCCTGCCTCTCCAACACGGGATCGTTCGGTCAGCATTCCTGCAGATGCAAAAGACAGGGCTAGTCAATCAAAGCTGAAGTATCGATCACATACTCCTGATCCGTTCGAGAGGAGTCCAAACATCAGTTCACGAGACAGATCAAACACGCTTGGGAGAGATTTTGGAAAAGCTAAACAGAAAACAGAGCCTTCCGTTAAAAAGCCACCTAGTTATAAATCAAAACCACAGCTAAACGCTGTAAAGAATCAGAGTATAGATGACCATGGTTATGCGACAGTTATTCCCAGATTGGACAAGAATGAACATGGATCTAGCAGCAGTGATAACAGTGATTCTGATTATGATATCGTTGACCCTGTTCGTCAGATACCGACGCCACGACCTACACCTGTTCAAAAAGCAGCTTCGGGATCGGAAATAGTGGAGGAAAGAAACTTGTCTCAGAAAAGGCACCAGATGCCAATACCGACTTTACCTTCACAAAACCCTGTTTCTAGTGATGATGAGGAAGATTATGACGTTCCTGACGAACCGTTTTCCCGTCCTGAGTCAGATTATGATATTGCTGGTAATTTCCTTCGCAAAGTGGAGAAAAGTTGTGCTACAACAAACGTTGAGGAAGATGATAACTATATTGATGCAGCCAAATTAGACTCGATGCCAAATACGAACAGAAGAAAAACACCAATTATTCCTGCTCCAATGAAATGTCAGCTTGATACTGAACAGGATGAAGAAGACCTTTACTTTGAACCTATATCCGGTCCACTTTACAATGATAAAAAATCATGTACGCAAACACAAAATATATTGGATTGTGAGAATGAAGATCCTTACTTTATACCGGTAGAGGAGTCGGCACCTTCGGAGGAAGAAGATCCATACTTTGAACCTATCTCCGACTATGATAAGCCAGACGCCACAGTGTTGAGGTCAAATCAAACCCCGCAGTCACAAATGTTTACAACAGATCCCGGACAAGAGCAGTATATAAGACAAAATCGCAAACCTACGCTGACTCGAAACTCCAGTCGAAGCAGTGATGGTTATTCCAAACCCGAGGAGGTAATACTGTATAAGCGCAAACAGCCAACAGAGGCCACCAAAAAGAGCAATAACTATACTGACGACTCGAATATATATGTGAATCTTCCATTTTTTAAAAACCAGCAGATAAAAGAGGAGGCCCAACTCGATAATACACAGTCTAAAAACACCATGAAATTACAAAATGTGAAACTGAAAGACAGTGTAGAGGACAACAGTTATTCTGACTCTGATGACTACGATTACACCATGTATTGAGTATCACGATCTACGTTTGTGCGTAAGCATCTCAAATGTCTTAACAATAAGAAAGTATATTCATTTCATTGTGATGTGATTTTAGTTAAGGTGAAGACAATTTGTGAGAAGTTATGATAGTGACATCCCGATTAAGTTAAAGGAATATGATACGTTTTACAACTACGATGACTCCGAAAAAAAAGATTTTATGCATGCTGACCATGAACCATATATCAGATTTTCAATTCCACCGCAATGTATGGTACAATTTACTTCTACAAATGCATAGATTAATGTAGGTTATCATTTCTTCGGTTACTACTTGATAAGGAAACCTCGGTATTGCGACTACTGTGCAAACCAACTTTCTACTAATTTTCACAATTTTAAACTAAAACAAGTTGGCGATGATTGATCCTCGCTGTAGAGACTATATTTAGCTATACTCTAATTATCTGTAATCGCCTTTTCAATACGCAGCGATCGCAATTCACATGTATGCTTCTATAACGAAATTCGCGAAAAATTGTAAACAGTATTAAAATATTTTGTGCAGAAGTTTATACACATATTCAAACTGTACGTCAATTCAAGATATGATGCACGATGATTTAAAACGTGTGTAATAACATATTAAAGTTGCCCATTGTATAACCTGTTTTATTTGTCTTATGAAAGGGGAATAAACATCACCATGGCAATGTCATTGAACTTCCCTTTCTTTCCGTCATAATTCAATATCTTACCTATTTTACCAACTCAACACCCCCCCCCTCTCTCTCTCTCTCTCTCTCTCTCTCTCTCTCTCTCTCTCTCTCTCTCTCTCTCTCTCTCTCTATTTGTTCCGCGAATTGCGTCATCTTTTTAAATCAGCGTATTTCCTCTTTTTTTGATAAAAGCCAGAAAAACGAGATATATTTACCATAAGATTTTTTTGAGAGATATTTTATCTGAAAATCAATATGAAACTATTTTGATGGATATTATATAGCAGCGATATAAAAAAAAACATGCCTTGAATTAGTTCCTTGTTCCTTATCGTTTAAGGGTTCGCTACAACATTAGATATTTATTCAACAAGCCGTCTGATTGAGTACGTTATTTAAATTATGCATGCCTAATGTCCATAAACTACAACTTACATTAAGTCGATTTCTCATAAGTCCTAGTGTTTGTAGCAAACACTTTTTTCATTCAGAATGCATGGTAACTTCTGTTGTTTGTTCCGTTTGAGCTTAATAGGAGATTTTATTAATGTGTCGGTCGACATTTTCACCCGTGGAGAACATGACTAAGGCGTTTGAAAGGATGTGCTTCTTCTTCTTAGTCTAGGTCAATCCAAGTAATACCGCGTACCAAAATCCGGACGTTTAGGAATGAAATCACCATGTACGCTCAGGAAGAACGAACACATCGAACTTTTACAAATAAATAAATCATTTCTCAATAAGCTCTTGATTCATTGCGACCAAAAACCCTGTGTCATCATTCCTCATGTTGATTTAATGTCACATGTAGTTATGTGAGACTGCATGGTTGGAAGATGTATTTTCATATTAGAGTTTATGTAGGGAAACTGCTCTGTATATTGATCTAAAACATTCTCAGTAATTTGAAACACCGTAAGAAATCATTTGTCGTATTAACAAAATACCCGATTGCGATTACTTTTTATACACTCTAATGAGAGGATCTATTTAATAATTTTAATTTTCTGGCTCAAACCACTCTTTTTCGTGGTAACTTAAGATCGAATTAAAGTTTTCTCCGCCATATCATAAGCTGCTTAAATACGTTTTTCACGTTTTCCATTGCTAATGTACCTCCACGTGTAGATTTGATTTTGACTTAACTTACTTGGATTGACCTTTACATGGTTTCATGGTGAATGTCGTAGATGAAGCAGAATACGCTTACTCCTACGGAACACCTGAACTTATTCTCCAGGAGTCTCAGTGTAAGTCCTTATTTTGTTCATATTTTGCCTTAGTTTTATATAATTTTGGTTCAAATTATGATTATGTTGACATGTTGATATTTTCTTGGTTTTTTTTATCACTTTAGATTTCTCAGTCGCCTCCTAGGCTTCAAATATAGGCCTTTAGCGTCACTGACGAATTCTAAGAGGACGAAATAGCTGTGTGACTCAGTTTTATTCATTGCTTGGCTCTAATGTATCTAATGTATCAAAAAGGTTTTCACTTAGGTACAATTTAACAGAAGACTAATATTCACTTTTCTGCTATCTTTTTCATTTGGTATGTCAATAAATGTGTTTATAATTTTGTATTCGGTCTTATCCAGCTCGCATCTATTAATTTTTTATGTAACAATTCATTTTTACCATTTTATCAATGTTCAAGGCGTTACGACCAAGACCTTGGGCACTGGAGTTACTCCGACATAACAGAATGCAGAATGTAGAGAGGCATTCCTGTCTAAAAATAGAAGATATAGAATAAGGAAATTTGAGTCACCAGGCCTATACAGCTTCAAGCGGAAAGTACATTGACGTCACAAAGATACATACAAAAACACTTTATTAGTCAGAGTAATAGATGCCGATAAACATGAAATTGTAATAGATATTAAAAAAAAATTCATAAGCAGGTACTACTCATCGTGTTTTTATTATCTTTCATTCATTGTTTTAGATGTGTTTATTTCATGTAGTCAGTTAAGAATCTGTGTTCATATCGAGTAGAAATTTACCTTTACCTATTCGGTATGAGGTAGACATGTTCATGTAATGGATAACAAAAGAAAATTTGTCAAAAGTCAATAACTAACCGGAAACCAAAACAGAGATATCACAATCCGATCCATCCGACAACAAACACAAAACAAAAACAGTCTCAAGAGTGAAACGGTTTTCTATATCACGTTTATTTTTTCTTCGTAATTTCCTCTGGCACATTAGCGGCTGATTGCATAACATCTCTAACCATGTCAATCGGAAATCAAATATAGAACATAGTTGTACAAAGTTGGAAATTTCAGATTATGAAGATATCTTGAAATAGCCAGCATAGAAAATTTGATATTCGGCAAACTGTATAGTAACTCCCATATTTACCGAACCTTCTTATACACACACTAGTCATTTATCATATCGTTCGATGCTGATGATGTCTGTTATTATTATCATAGGTCAAGATGTAGTTTCAAAGAAAAGAAGAATCAAGAGTTACAACTACCTTACTCTCTAAGTATAGTGCCTAAATCTCCAACACCAACAAATAGTTTTATAACATAGCATATATGTTAAGAAACATGTACTTAATTGCATGTTTGTTCTCTTAATTACTTTGAGAGAATTCTCATCGAATGGCATGCTGGTTCATAATTATTAGTTCTTATTTCTTATAGAGACCAGGAAGTTATATCTGGGTAATCACTGCGCTTTAGACAATACATTCCGAAATTATGTTTTAACCCACGACGTCTTTTATCATTCTATCAGTAATATTCTAAATAAATATGCTGAATTAGCAAAGTTCTGTATAAACTGATCGTAAAGGTTGGCACGCTTTGCCTTTTTTTAAGGGAATGATTCCCTACATGATATACCACGCACGTTTTACTAGTGCATGGAAAGGAAGACAACTCGATGTTAATTTTTTGTCATATCAAATCAAACGTAAATTATTAGTCAAACTATCAAATATTATTAGATAAATGTTAACTTTACTCAAAATTTGAACAGTATGCTTTTATTGCCTTTACGTGACACCACTTTTCATCTTCTTTCCATAAAGTGCGCGGTATAAATTCAGGATTACAATTAAAATTTAACTTAATGATTATACATAAGCACAGGTGACATCCATAGAGCTATTAATTGAATCAAACAGAAGTTATCTAGAGGCACATTACCACGAAAAAAGAAACACTAACAGAACAAGTATTGTTTTCATTGTGTTTTATTATGCATAACAGTTATAGCAATTTGCCGTAACAACAAAATACAAAAAAGCATTAAATATTGCAATAAACCAAAATGTTGTATACCAACAAAAAAAACAACAAAAAAACAAGTTTCAATAATTAGAATTGGTCACGTAATATAACTGACAAATGAAATGAAAATACATAAAGTTCATTGCTTTACTCTGTGCAGTGATGACAATTACGTCAATACTGACAGACAGGTGCGTTGACGTCATCAAATGATGTCCTTTACTGGTTTGCGACGTTTCTGGGATTCAATGAGGCATGCTATGATGATTATAAAAAGTATTACGGACAACATGGCAGCCAGTCGGATAAACACCACCTCTGCTTCTTCTGAAATATAGAACACTATGATAAATCATTTGACAGAAAACATAAAAAGCAATGTTAATTTTAAAATTTAATAAATGTACAGGAGCTTTGGCGGGTGACAATATTTTTATAATATATGCTATGGTTTTATGCTTAGCGAAAACGTATATGGATTTAGAAGTAATAATGCAATTTAAAATATAAGCAGGAAAGAAAGATTGCTTTTTCCAAATTCAATATGAACACCTGCTGGTTTTCTTTCTGTCATTTTTAAAATCAGAAACATTTAAGGGAACCAAAAAAATCTTACACACCTAAATTTAGACAGAGAAATTTGGCATTCACAAACCAAACTTTAACATCTGAGAATCTACCATTCTGAAAATCAGCATGTTTCAGACATCCATCATCTTATATCGTTACAATTTATTATACAAATATTGATCAACTTCATGACGTCATGTTTTGATCAATTTTATAACATCATGTATTGATAAACTTCATAACGTCATGTTTTGATCAATTTTATAACATCATGTATTGATAAACTTCATGACGTCATGTTTTGATCAACTTTATAACATCATGTATTGATACACTTCATGTCATTTGGTATTTACCATTCGTTATGTCTTCGGATGAAGCTTGGGTTGTACTGTTGCTCATAACGGTTGTAGCGAGGGACACTTCCTAAAGTGGAGATATGGAAAGTAAAAGGCATTGTGTCCACAACAATAAATATGGTAATTACATTTGATAGCTCATGATACACAAATAGATTTTGCAAAATCCATATGGAGAAAGTAATAGTGTAAATCAGAATCGTGTTGATAATCTCGTCAAAAGGTTGAAAAGCTACTGATATACATGTAATACTTAAGTTTAATCAATTTAGAATCAGGCTTAGTCTGATAACTTGAACAGCTGCTCCGTTAATTCCAGGATAGTTTTAAACATTATTAAATGAACATAACTTTTCCTGATTTTACCATTCTAAATTTTACCGAGAGCTAAAAATATGAACCAGTTGCTCTGTATAGTAAATTTACTTCTAAGACCAAATGATTACGAAAAACTGACTTTTTAATAGTAAAAACAACATATTCTAGTAAACAAATTGATACACTAAGACGTGTTTGAAATGTATCACTTTGAAGTTCTACTTTGTCTGACAAAGCCTAATACAGCTGATTGTCTTCAACAAACCATACATAATAGAACTGGCTATTTACACATTAAAAGCCATTCATGCTTGTCTTGTGAATAAGATAATATTACGCCTAAGGAGTACTCCACACATATGGGTAATTCAAAACTTTGTGCTGTTATGGTGCCACGTAAACAATAACTACACATGAGCTGTTTAAGTAGAAAATTACCATATTGTAGGAATGGATTATCTTTTTCGTACTTTTTACACTCTCCAGGCCATTAGACATCCGATATTTGTGAAATGATTACCTAAAACAATCAAATAATGTTTCCTGTATTTTTAAACATGATTGTGAATATAATATCAGGCAAATAACATCAAATCCACTTAATAGATTAAGTGTGACTACAGATACACTATATATTATTCATATTAAGGGTGTTCCTTTTTTTTCCAAAAATGGGACATGGATTAGGAACGAGCATAT